ACTTTAAAAATTTTTCTTACCTCGGTTTTTCTCCTTTGCATTCCTTTGCATTTCTTCCCCGATCAACTCCAAATATATCTTTCAACAAGAAATCTAAGTAGAATTCCAAGGTTTGACGAACACAATATTTTATTTATATATTTACACCCCTATACCTACATATATATATATATATATTTTTTTTTTCTTTTTTTTTCTTTCTTTTTTTTTCTTTTGTATATGTACTATTATACAAACAACAATTCACGGTTGCCTCCCGTACCGCCGCCCCGGCCATCTCGCCGACGCCGCTTAAGCTCATTCCGCCTCTGGGGTGACTACGTTTTCACGAACACGTCCTCACCCTCGCTGCTTACTCACGGGGTTTTCCCATTACCTCGAGACTCAAAGCCCTGAACAAACACTTCCGGCCTGTTTCAAGCACATTGATGACCGAGAGTTCCCATTACCTGGGCCGGGAGCTTGGTGGCCTCAGACACATCGAACGCCTCCACCTTGTCATGTGCTTCGCATAGTTAGCTGCCCGGGCAAACATATCTATTAGCGCTTTCCCTGGTCAGCTAAGAAAGGTCGTCCCAAAATAAATGGGACTCCCTCAAATACGCTCAAAATCCAGCACACAACAAAATTTACCTAAGATAGGAGCCGACTTGCACTAGCACGCCCCTCCACAATGCCATCTCGGTCTTGCAAAGGAACGATCCGCTAGCCGCAGAAGATCACCGGCCGTAGGTCTAGGACTCCCTAGCCCCAACTTCTGAATATCGATGCCCAAGACAAGTTAATGCTCGCTCCCAAATCACATATCCGCTTGAGCCTCTGATACTTTGCCCGATTGTTATTTGAATTGTGAAGTTCCTGTGGCCTTTGAGTCAGAGGGCACGGCTTTGTATCCGAGGAAGTGCATCTGTAAGAGCCACCGTGGCATATTCGGGTAAGCCTCGCTTGTTGGCCACGATGTCCTTTATGTACTTTATGCATTTCCTAGGGCACTCTCGCAAAACATCAACAAAGAGGTAAGTTAATGTGTACCGTTAAGCACCTCCATAAACTTTTTGAAACACGCTCCTCCTTTGTGTTTCTTTAATCGTCGAGGGAACTGGGGTGGAGGTCTTTCCTCGATTCAAAGATCCTTGTTCTTCCCCCTCTCATCATTTTCTCCCTCTCCGCTTCGCCGCTCTCCCGACGGGTGAGGTGGTCTTTCTGCCTCCACCTCTTCAGCCGGCAAACCACTCCTCGTGGTCACCGCATTTACCCGCGCTTGGGGTTGGGGTCTGTCACTGGGAAGTCCTCCTCTAGGCCTCAACGTGTTCTGGGCTCCAAAGAACCGCCCAAACCGATACCTGGCCGCCTTGGTATTACTGACATTTCGAATTTCTACCGCCAATTTTAGTATAGCTTCGCCAATTGAGCTTGGCCAGCTATCAATGTCTTGAACATCTCCTCAACGCTGGGTGATGGCGGTGGAAGAGGTGCAAGAAGAGCGATACCGTGCCGATAGTTCTGCGGGCTCCCCTGGGATTCCTCTCGCATACCTCGACTCACACTCGTCCCCGATGGTTGTTGGGTTACCCCAAGAGAAATGGGGTGATTCTCCAGCTAGAGCTGTAGCCGTTCCCATACGCAGGATTGCTCCTTTGTGCATTACCGACAAAGTTCACCGAGTCCGATTTGCTCCACAACACTCACTCGGAAGTGTTCATTGCTCCCACACACTTCACACCAAATCTCGCTGCACCGCATTTACCGGGGCTTGAGATCGACTCAAGCTCATGCTGGCTCAAGTGGGTGTTTAGTTGATTCTCGTGCGGCCATCTCACAAATGATAGCCGTGAACCCATCCACTTCCAAGACCCACTCGCTTTCCTTGCTCCTCCCCTTGAAGAGTCCGCATTCCACTCCTGATTTCCCCGCGAAATACGACATTAAGCAAAGTATAAAGCTCCTCGTAAGTCTTTTCTAAAGCTTGTCCCCCGCCTGCCGAATCTAGCAAATTTTTTGTGTGGGGTTCCAAACATTCTATAAAAGTGTGCACCAAAACATCATTGGATTGATGGTGATGAGGACAAGCCCCGTTAACAACATTTGAATATCTCCTGCTTGATGCAGATTCTCTCCATCTTTTGTTTGAAACTTAGAATTTGACTTCTAAGCCTTGGCCGTTTTTACCTAAGGAAAGAATCTGGACGAGAACTTCTTTTGCAAGATCATCCCATGTGGAAAGTTATAGAGTTCTATGGCCTACCAACCACCTTTTGAAGCCCAAGAGTGAAAATGTAGTCAAAGGTAAGCCCGACATAGTCTCGTTGGACACTCCAAATGGGATGGGTGCGTCACTTATCTCCAAAAAATTTTGAAGATGTTGCTGCAAATCTTTGATAGCACTCAGAACTACCCGCTTGTGTGCAGCACTGCACCATGCTCTCGTTTTAAGCTCGAACCTCCCTCCTCGGTTCGCCTATGGTCGCTAGATGTGACATTACTAGCATGTGGGATTGCCACATCGCGAACCGGCCTAGCTGCTATTTCTGCACTACACGCTCGCATTGGGCAGACTTCGTGGTTGCTCCATAAGTGTTCGGGCCGAGCAACTAAATTTTCAGAGCTTCTCTTCATTGGGCGATGGAATTGTCTTTCCTAGCTCAAGGATGGATCCACCAAATTCTTTGTCTTTGCCGTGTTCACCGTAACTGCTATCCGGCAAAATACAAGCAAGACCAAGTTGTCAACAATAAAATACATAAAAGCGAACTAACACTTTTAAGAAAAATTAAAATTTCACCAATTGCCGGCCCCTAATGGCGCCAAAATCCTGATGAGCCCGCAAGTGTACGGGTTGTACAAGTAATATAGTGGCTCTATTAAAGAACCGGAATGTCAAACCCACGGACTGACTACAGTGGTAAAAACTTTCTGTTAATTTCATCGTAACTCTAATAATGAAGACAACAAAGCAAGGAAAAAATGTTTTATATTTTGGAAACTTTTTATACTAAAGTAGAATAATTATACAAGTGAGTCCGAACTACGAATGTGAGCATGCCGAGGCTAAAACTAACATGTGAAGAAATTAATCATCGATTTACGTGGTTTATCTTTTCCCGCTGCTAGTCTAACCTATGCCTATGGATTAAAACTCTCGTATTTAACCCAACTTAAGAATCAAGCGAACCTTCCACCTACATTTGATAAGAAGAAATTCATGTTCTCGCCATACAAAACATTCCACACTTGACTAATACGACTTCGTGTATATTTATCCCGAAGGTAAATCACTCTCAATTTTCCCAAACAAAGAACAGATCATATCCTATTAATTCACAACTTTCCAGCTTATTCCTGGTGAAACCTGGATTTTTGGATTTACATTAACATTGGCCGTATATTAATGCAAGTAAGAACAAGAATTAAATAGAACAACCATAGAAGAAAAGATGAAACAAACCAGATAATCAAATACATTTCAATACAATGGTTTCTAACCTCAGCAAAGGGGAATTAGCCACCATTTGTGGATTGGAACATCGTTAAATGAATGTAAATCATGCAAACAATTGAAAGAAAGAAGAAAGGGATAGAGAAAACCCTAAGAATTTTCGGCCCTCTCAACCGCCCTGTAACCCACGTGTTTGCTCCACCAAGTCAGAACCTTAAAGAATGAACCTAAGTGTTCTATTTATACTAGGGATAATTTTTCCCGAATAACAAGCAACGTGTCACTGGATGTGCATCACTGAGCACCGCCTCCGTGACACCTGCAAACGTGGAGGCTCTCCCGAATTTGGCCGCCTGTGTAATTAGGTTCCCAACGTGGCACGACATGCCCAACGCGCTGAGCATGCCCGCCGTGCCACTATAAGTAAACGCTGACCTTCACTGGAATGTCAAGACTGGGAAATTAATTCCAACGTGTCACGCCGATCGGGCGTTAATCTTCTCTAGAATTTCTTGAATTTATATCCCCCGGATGAGTGCATCCACGATGGCAGCGTGTCACGACTCCATCAAGGAGCCATTAAATTTCGTTTCTCCACTCGCTTCCTCAAGCTGCTCCCGGTGTCCATCTCCGATTCCTCCCAACATGCATCTTAGCTCCAGAAAGTATATTTTTCCCGCAAAACAACGCTAATCATGTTGGTTAGTATAAATTCACACTTCCCTACAATTTTACATGAGAATGTACAAAAATTATTGGATAAACATAAAGCGATGCATTTGTTATCAATTGGGCATATAAATATGCCCGATCAAGGGTCCCTAGCCCCCTTTCTCTTCTTCGTTATTACAACCTTCTTTTTGATGTCAAATAAATGTAGTTACGCGCAAATTCTCATTGGATCTCGTTGTTCTTAACAAATGATGACTATTCATTTAAGTCTTCTGGGTTAGCACCACTAGACTCCAACAAGGTGGAAATTCTCGTATTCCGTATGCATGTTCCCGCGGCTCGATGAGTATTCTTGTTTATATCATTACGACTATAAACACTTTTTTGTTCCTATTAACAAAAAATCCCCTTTTCTTCGCTCCTCCGTAACCGGTATATAAATAGGTGCTTTTTCTACGTTGTTTATCTTAGAAGCTACCGGGGGTTTCTGGGAAACCTACGTGGGGCACCTTGGGTGCGGGATGCCTGCTTAACCTCTCGTATTCATCTTGTTCCTTATTTACCTCGGGTATCATGTGTTTCAAAAGCTTTCGTCGAACCTGGGCCCCTATTTCAATCCGTGCTGACCGATCGATATACCAATAATCAAGTCTTCGCAAACCGGTGGAAGACATTTGCATCAACCCGGGAGAATTAGCCGATTCGTGCCAATACATGTTCCTATGCCCATTCCAATCTTGTCTAACTTTGCTAACTCCCCCTTCTCAACCCGTATCTTGTTCGTTCTGGAACACGTCTTCCCTATTCCATCTTTTCGAATCTCCTTTTAACGGAAGAAATAGAAGCTCAAGAAGGAATACCAAAACCTATTTCACTCGCTGAAAGTCTTTTTGCATCCATCGCCGAATGGTTAAAGCACCCAACTCATAATTGGCGACTCAGGTTCAATTCCTACTGGATGCACGCCTAATGGGACCCTCCAATAAGTCTATTGAAAAATCGATTAATCGTATCAATGGAATCTCATCATCCATACATAACGACCGATGGTATATTCATGGTCATAATGAACAAGTAAGAACTAGCATTCTTATCGAGACTTCACTCATGTGGAAGAAAATCGATTAGATGGAATAAAATATGCAAAGATTATGTACAAAAGTATTCGATTATTGGGGAAAATAAATATACTTCTAATGTCGAATCGATCAACTAGGACAAGAAATAAAGCATCGGGTCGAACTCCTTCGTGTCAAGGTAATAGCTATGAATAAATATCGACTTCCGGAAAGAGTAAGAATAATTAGACCTACATGTGGACATACAATGCATTTTACAGATCTATTTATCATTATGCTTCAACTGGGAACCTTCTTTCCAAACTCACTCGACACACAAAAGAAAAGACGAAAGACGAGAATCGGTGCAAGGATCAAAAACACCCACAGACATAGAAGAGTAAAGAAATGCTTCCTAGCCTACCGAAAACTCTAATAAGCTAGTTAGGGTCCTCCGCCAATCAAGTGTCGACAATTCTGGACAGGGTTTGACCTTCCTTCAATGTCCTGATGAACATGCATTTCTTTTCTACGCATGGTAGAGTATGCAGACTTATAACCAATCCAATCGAAAACCTTAATTCGAGAGATCAACCTAGTTGATAATATCGTAAAGCCTGAGAGAAGTTGTGCTAATGCCATCATGTAGGGACTGCAAACTTGAAGGGCTAGGTTCTCCTTAGCTCAATAATGAGTTAGGGTCGATCGGATGAGGCCTTACCTCTTAGATGACCCAAGCAAGCATTAAGCTATTGGATGGATCCTCCTAACTCCGTAGTTACTTAAGGTCGAGTAGTAGACGCGGCGAGGCCCACAGCTTCTAATGTTTTCTTACTTCAGCCTTTCCGCAAGAAGCAAGTCTGGGTTACCGCAAAGTGAGGTTATAGGTCCGATTTCATTCTCGTATTGAGATCTTAGAATGCTATACGCACGTTAAAGGTTACTTTAGATAGCTAAGTATTTTACATAAGATTGGCATCCCCATTCTAAGGTTCCTTAGTACTTAGGTCGTGGAGTTTCGATATTAGTAGCCTTTTATTCCCATCCCACGTAAGAACATAGGTTTTCCTCAATTTCGCTCCTTGCTTTAACTAAAGAACTACCTTTAACTTTAAGTAGGACTCTAAAGAGCTCTACCCTTAGAATGAGTTAGATTTCGTGTTAACAGCAAGTGAATGGAGCCAAAGAGATGGCTAGCGAGACTAGTGCAATCGTGTAATCGACCAAGTAATCCACATACATGATAAAGAGCATTCACCTCTAGTACTTATCCACCGACATTGAAGGAGAAGAACACAAGGTCTGCCTACGCAAGGATTGCCGCTAGTCTAATCCAAGAGCAAACAAGGGATGCCTCATTAAGCAAGAACTCAGGCCAAGAGCTAAGGGCTCAATTAAGGTATAGATAAAGCTCCAAGCAAGCCTACCATTGATCAACCTATTCGTGTGCACATCAATAAAAGATCTTGCTTACCTAAGGAACTTTTCCCGTGAAGCGATAAAGCTTCTGATGCTAAGAAAGTCTCGCGTCAAAGTGAACTCGTGACCGTGACGACTATTTCACTAATTTCAAAGGATCGGGATTAATCTCTTGGGATCGGTTCAAGCAAGGTGCCCTGTAAAGACTAAAACCTTGTTACACCGAAAATAGTAGAGGTGCCATTGTACGCTTGAGCCATGAGTGGAAACTTACTTTCCGTCCGGTTAGCAGGATTTTTCGCTCTCGCTGGCGGATTAGTCTGCTAGGACCGGTAGCAAGAGTTTGTATCATGCCTGGGCCGACTAGAGAAATTTTCTTCCCACGTAGCACTAAGAAGCAAGTTCCGACAAAATTCAGCGATGAAATAGCACAAACAAAAAAAGTATACATACGAAGTGTTAGTAGTACGCGAGGCTAATTTTGAGCTAGATAGTGGATTTGGCTGTTCACCGCAGCGTACCCATTCAACCCAGCGTTGGGTTAGTGTACCGCGAACTCCATCCCACATATTTTGGATGTTGTGGCATCAAGCATCTATCTACATTCTACATCCAAGGACACCATTTTGGAAACCCTTGATTCCTAAGCATTTGTTAAATTCGTTATGTTCTTTGTCAAATACTAACCGATTTGAATCCATATTCTTCTGGGGTTCAACTTGGTTGTTCTTTCATTCGAGCTAAGATGGATCAGACAAAACTAGTTCCAAGCATCTTCCATTCATCTCAACCTGATCGATCTTTGTTCGATGATGATAAACCATCATAAATTTGTATAGTATATATACCCCCAAGCCCTCTTTTTGTACCATTTTTTTCTTTCTAAAAGAGGGCCCGAACCTGGCTCTCTTCATAGCCCCTAAAGGCGTAGAAGAGATTTAATCAAATGTAAAGATAATAACTTCAATCGATAGAAAATCTATCAAGACCTAAAAAGAATACCATCTCCTGTGGAGTCTTTTTATTTTGCATATCTCGAGTTTCGAATTCTCCCTACGCTTTTCCATCACAATTTTCTTGAGAACACTCGCTCGCCGATTCTTCACCTCGTTCCTTTTCTCTTGACATTGAGATGTTTATGCAAAGCATTCTTTTCTACCCTATGTAGAGACACAAGCTATGGAGCCGTAGACTTAAGACCTAAGGATATTTCTTTGACTTTGTGACTGTGTCTTTAACTCAGAAAGTGTGTTGCACCTGTTGCCAATTTCGATTTTCTTTCTATATATAGATATGGCTTTCTCTTGATGGAATATACCAAGAAAAATCTTCTTTTAGAATCACAATCAGCTGGAAGTAGGCGACAATCAAGCACAGTCTGTCTTAAGGCATCGCCTTCAAAAGGATTTCCTATCGTTGCATGGGTTCCTTTTTGTATAAAACATATTGACTACAAATTGAACTAAAGAAAGAATGTTGACTGCTCTAGACAATGTGAAGACCGTAATCTCGACTAACAATCAAACGCCTATCACGAGTCACATGGGCACCCCCATCGTGTAGAATAGTTGTGATATCCCTATCAAGAGCTAACTCTAAGAGGATACTATTCATTTATTCTTCACACCGCTGCTCGCTTTGGAGACTAAACAATGGAAATAATACGTACGCTAGCCAAGTAACGATAGTAAGAAATACTGTAGTATAGCTCTCTTTAAATCCCTACGAAATCATCCAACATCAAATTGTATAAGACCTTAGTGATTAATCTAACATGTGGGATCCCCAACTTCAATAGAACAATTGATTCACTTTTGTCATTGGTATTTTTAAAAAGGATGAAACTAAGGGATATTACGTAGCTATCACGCACTGCTGGTGCCAACTTTCGTGAAAATTCTTTTATAAGGAATAGTACCTTGTCAGAAAGCATAGATTCAAGATGAAAATAGTTCTAATCTTCCCCACTCCATAGAATTTGCAAAGAACTCACTAGCCATCTCTCGGGAAAACCACACGACTACTCCTGAAAGATAGATGAATGCATAAAAACTATTTAACATATGCACGCGAGCGACTGGTGTGGAGGAGCACCTTTCACCGACAAACAACCTCATTTATGATCGTGTGTCCCCCGTCGACATAAAGTTTCAACATAAAAAGAAATTGCCTTCGTCTTTGGGAATACTTAATAACTTGCTGTGACAATGCATACTTCTCTTTCGAGATAATAACATTATATCACATACGCTGGCCAGGAAACGAAAATAGATCACCAAGTTTAGCATAGACATATAATATTGATCGTGTTGTGCTGAGCATGAATAAGGTGGATTTTTCCGTGGTCCTCTCCATCTCGAATCACCCCGAACGAACAAGATTCTATCCGGCTTTGTTATTATTACGTGCTGTTATCTCGCACTCAGCCAGTGTGGAAGATGTGAGAAGAGGGACAACTTGTCTGCACTTTCTTTGCTTTCTTTTTGTGAACTCCACTGGTCATCCATGGATTATAGGGGCTTTCCATTGTATATAAATACACTTTCGTATCCTACTCCGCACCCCACTTTCCTTAAGCATATAGTAACCTATGATTCAAATTCTGCATATGCCGCCGTTTGGTGAGTTTAGTGACATGGGCCGTCTCACCTGACCCATCGCCCGAGTAGTAAGCCTCCTTGGGATAATTATCAATATCTCTTCCTATCAAAATGATATTAGGAGGGCGCCTTTTTTAAAGAGCCATCCTGTCTTTCAATAGAAACTATTTGGTACTGCCTAAGTCATTCTTTTATATAAAGGTAGTCCCCATAGCAACGTGGGCCTCTTGGCCTAGTGAGGTTTTTGCTTTTGGGGAATCATTGCTGGGAATAAGGATTGAATTGCACCGGCTTGTTCCTATTTGACTTCAATTACCATATGGAAATGGAGATCGTCCAACATTATGTTCCAGAGACTGCCACCGAATTAATCAAATCCAAGTAAGTCAAGTCACTTAATCCATATAGTATAGTAGTTTTTTAATATGAATAGCCCCCATTGTTGATAGAGAGCTACGCCCCGCCTTATAGTCGCGAACAAGTGTCATGGAAAAGAGTTTGTTTTCTGGCCAAAGGAAGCATGCTGCACATAGCCTATAGCATAAAGGCATTTCAGCCGTGTCTAAATTCAAATGTCTGGGAAAGGGCCCGTACTTCTTCGGGATACGCCATCCCTTCCTAGCTATGGTATGGGGAAGTGGGAGTGTGAGATCTACTCATTGATTTTATATTAGATGAGTGGTTGTACTATGATCATTCGGGAGACATGGGCCCACACGCTACACACAAGAATGAATTGTTATGGCGTTGGTAAACTCTTTTTTCCTTCGCAGTGTACCTATCAAATCTGGATCATGTATTTTTGAATATGTCGTTACATCATGCACATGTATTCACTTTTCCATTTTCTTTATGTTCCCTGCCGTTTCTGATAGAGAATGGGCAC